AAAGAAGTTATACTTAAACATAATGAGAAAACTGAAATTATGTTACCATGTTGACACATGTATAAACTGTATTTACCAAATCTGCTGTGAATTCTGGGTTAGTTACCAAGTTCAGGAAGGTTCACTGTTAACGAAGTTCTGAGTGTTATAATTTATGGATGCCTTGAGTTATAAATCTACATTGCCATATGTAATGGAACGAAGAAGTCTTGGCTCTGGTATCACCAACGGCAGACTTGAACATCTTCCTCTTTTTTGTTAATGAGGCTCTCATAGTGAGGGTCTCATAGCTACTCCACCCTCAAGGTCCAGGTCCTGCTATCACTTTCAGAAAATGGTTCAAAAACGCATTCAGTTCCTTTTTCATTGCCCTGGATTTGTTGCGATTTGCTTCCAATATACAGCCAAATTTTGTGTTTGAGGTTAGCTTCCACTAATTCTGATTCGAAGTAAGTTCAAGCATTTCCCTCGGAGGAACGGCATGAAAAGGTCGGTATGAGAGCAGACCTGTACCCCTATTTTTCTGAAACTGTTGCACTGCCACCATCAGCTCAGAGGATTACCGGGGAAGGAGAGGGAGCTAAAATGTCTCCCTTCTTGTACCGGCCTATGCTCTGGATGAATAGCAGTCTAGGCATAATTTTCGTACCACACTCCCAACCACGGTGCAGGCTAGGATATGTTATGTGTTTGTGACACTATGGCAGGCCAGCCAGAGTGGTGGCTGAAACTGCTCTCTCCCACCCATCTGGGACTTCTGGACCTCTGTAGCCCCAAAATGTTGATCAACACTAAAGCCCCTAACAACCTGCAATATCCTCTTTCCTGTCAGTGTATGCAGAGCTGGTCAGGAGTTCACTTTTCTCTAAAAGGAACCAAGTATGAACATAAGCACTTTGGAAAGTCTTCTGTAACCGCCCTCTGTGTGAGAAAGTTTGCAAAAGTATTACTTGCTCCCAAATAGTGGTTTTTAAAGTTTATGGCATGCAAAAGAAGGCTAAGTTTTATAGTACTTTACAGTAAGCCTTAGCACAAAGCTATTCATAAAGGATTCAGATTTGGCTAAGACTGACTCTATACAAAATAATTAACAGCTCTAGGAAAAGACGATGAAAGCAGCTATACCCAGTCCCTGAATTCCCAGGCATAAGTTATCTCTATTTCTCAGAAGCTGTTATTGTCTGAAAACAGCATATGTACAAAGCTGTAAGAGTAAAATATTTAGCATATTTTAAAGGCCTGTATGCATAAACATGCTTATATAGTTAAAGTATTTACATACAATTTTACATTAAGGCTTCCTTTCTAGTCTACATGAGAATAACTTTTAATTTTTCTCATTTTGTATTAACTTGTATGTAATACATTATAATGAATACAAATGGGTCTGAGTACAAGAGAGAAGGAAAAATGCAACCTGCCCAAACTAATACCTATCCAGAAACTGCCATTACAATAATAACATGAGAGCATTATCCCCTTAAAACTGCAGTGAGTGAAACCTCCTGAATCATGAGTTTCATCTCTTTTTTTCCTGACTCTACCACGGACACATATAGGAATATGATCCAAAATAAGAAGATTTCTTTTTCATTTATACATGTGTATCAATGTAGTTTCATTTGTTAAAAATAACAGTTAAATGTGGAATGATGGCCTGGTTTAACACTCCTAGCATCTCCAAAACTTGCGCTGAAAAACTGAAATGTCTCCTGCACATTTGGATTGGTCATTCCAGAGGCAATGAAAGCTCATTTCAAAAACTTAGCACATACATACATCACTACATGAAACTCTTAAGAGGAAAGCAGGACCATTTATATTTACACCTGAGTTACACACCTTGATTCTAAGCATAGAAATAAAAATGTAAGATTACAATAGATAAAACAGTTTTCCGTTGGAAAACCTGGTTCATGGAAATCAATAAATTTCCTTCATAAAAATGTGCCTTCATTAAAACGTGACAGAAATGTTTTTAAGTTAAACTAAATCACAAGGTGAAGGAGATTCAAAACCAAAAGCTCCGTATCTTACCTTAGCATACTCATTTGTGATCGTACAAAAGAATACAACCAGCATTGAAACCTTATGTGCTTTCTAAAACCTGATAAGCAATTTATAGGAATTGGACTAGTTTTAACTTGGAAGGATAATGGCAAAATATTTTGAAATCTTCGGAGTGGGTGAAAGAGATAACAGATGAACGGCTGACTATAGCTCTTGAAGATATATATTCAAATGTATAAATGAATCTTCCACTGAATGCTAAAACCTAATGGTTGTCTGATTCATGTAATTTTTTCTTTTACTAAATTCAATAAAAAATGTTCATCTTGCAGACAGCCAAAGCTAGAAAAATAACATTTCCCATCAGCATTAACTCTCCCCTTATCTTTGAGATGTTTACCTAGTCTTGAAGCTGTGACATATGGGAATTTCACACCTAGTGAATATATTTTCATGTAGCTTGTGGCACAGGAGTGTAATCATTAAAAGAATATACACAAGTAAGAGTAACTGCAACAGCTGGTGACATTTACCAATTAGAATTACAGTTCTTTAAAACACTTCATCCTTCTTTAATGTGTGCAGGATAATTATCTTTGAAATTGCTGTGGAAAAAAAAATTAATTTTCCTTTAAACAGTGTCTTCCTACAGTAGAAGTATGTCTGGGTAAGGAAGATTATCAATACTCCAACAGTATGACTCTCTGTTTCAAAACCTCACCAAAATCATTGCACATTAACCATCTTTGCTCATGGTGAGCAAAACACACATTAAACATTGAACGAACCAACAGTATATCAAATACTTTATTATCTCTCCATATTGCATGCATTGAATGGATTTGTTTTCTCTAAACACGTGAAAGAAAAGAAAGCTATTACAAGCATCGAAACAGGCTTAGTGCTATATATTTCATGCTTTAACTTTTTTTAATAGGGATTATGTATTAGGTGGGAACATCTGATTATATGATCCTCTATTGCTCTATTTTGGATTATTAAACTTCAGAAAAAAACCCACCAGCTTAATGTACAATAAAAAAACCCAAGCAACAATTAAGCAGCTCGATGTACCTTAAAAGACAAACAAAGAGAAACTGAGATATATTTGAAGTAACTGTCACAGGGGGCATTTCATGTTAGTATTGGACAGACTTAAGCAAGTCAGTCTCCACATCTATACCCAATATAAAAATTCTGCTTCTCTGACTCTCTAGTAGCACATCTGCTGAAGTTAATAGGAGTTATTTGCACATCTTTGGGAGAAGAATTGAACCTGGTATATTTATCTGGATAAGAATAAAAAAAGATATTCTGTATGAAAACTTCCCCAATAAAAAGGTGGTTTTTTATGATAGAAAAAAAGTTGTTGTAGGTTTGTTTTATTCAGAACAGCAGACAAGATGTTTTGCCTATCTGAAAATGAAAGAGAACCAAACAAAGAGATGAATGGAGAAACTGGAAACACAAAGACATCAAATAAAATACCAGGAAATGAAGAGTTGTAAATAGGGTTACTTTGTCACTGGTTACACAAGTAACTGAATACACTGGCGAGTGAATGAGTTTAAACAAGGGTGTAGGCTTCAGCGCATTCTTTTTTAGGGTTAATCACTAGTTAACCTGGCAAGATGAACATGCTGTTTGGGAAAAAAAAAAAAAAAAATCCTTGTTAATTATATACTGCAAGTGCTCTTACTTCCTGCTGCTGCACCTAATCCCACAGGTGCAGGTTGTCTCTTGTACTATTCACTGGTAGGTGGGTCCAGATCGACAGGCACTTTTTCATAGCAACAAATTCAGATAAAGAAGAAACAGCTTAACTTTCCCCCTTTAAACAGGAAAACATTATTATAGTCTCTGTGTAACCAGGAGGCAAATTTTAGAATACTTTATTCCAGTTTCCAAGATGTAGAAGCTATATTACGATTGACACACATCGCTCCCACTGGCAAAATTTGCCTGAGGGACCTAGTCAAAAGTAATGCTGCATTGCCTTCATTTCCAGGCGTTCAGATATTTTGCTGTTGAAAGGTTTGCAACGAGCTTAATACTGCCACCAATTAAGCTTTTCCTACAGGAAAGATACACCTAAGTTTCTGCACAGCTTTTTGCAATGCAACAGTTTGTCACAAATCTCAACAGAAATGGTGTACACTTGTAAATACTTATGTTCTTTCTCACTTTTGGCATTTATCACTGATTATTTCTTAGCATCAGAAAGTATTAAAAAAACTTGTATTCTTGATATTACCAAGAAAAAAAATCTAGTTTTACCGAGTTGCTATCCTGTCAAAGCATTAATGTTTCATGATGAGAACAGATGTTAGAGACTAACTATATAATAATAAACTTCATCCCATTTTGTGTTTTTTCTCCTCTCCACCCCCTTCCACTCCCCTGCGTCCTGGAGGGAGCCGTTTTAACTACAGCCTGGATGTAACAATGAAATGAAAAGGAGTGATGAGCTGGAGGGGGCTATTGTGAGAAACACAGGAGCTCCTTATTCAGTGTCCACCACCAAATGAAAGAGCATGTTGGAAAATTTCACTGCCTGAAATTTGGTATGACAGAATTAAAACACCATTAAAATATTTTTGGAATAGAAACTACTTGTACTCATGACAAGACCCTTGCTCCCTTCATTTCTTACAAATAAAAATACATAAGCCAGGCAGGAAGACGCATCATTTGTATAATCGGCCTATTATAAAGGTTAACATTTTATTCTCACATAGTTATGAAAAATAAGATTTTGTTCAAATGAAAAAATACAATGCATTTTCCCTGCCTCTAATACATCTTCTTGTAGAAGAAAAAGCAGACTTGGCAAAGGCTAAATGTGGGTATTTTGAGAACTGTCATGCAGAAC